AGGGTCAAATGCTTCACTTCTGGCACAGTTGTGTTGCACTCAAGAAGGCCAAAAAGCAGAAGGTAGGCCGACCAGTTCAAGTGGTCGGCCGACCACTTACCCTGGTCGGCCGACCAGGGTTCAAAAGGGTCAATGTCAAATGCTGGTCGGCCATACCAGAAAGGTGGCCTCCCAGATGAGTACAACACAGCTGTATGGTGGGAGACCAGAAATTATGGCCCAAGAGAGAGAAAAACCAGCTTTCTAGCAAGGTTTAAAAGGGTCAAGAAGAAAAGCTGGTCAGCCTACCCATATTGGTGGCCTCCCAGATGAATACAACACAATGGTGGTATGGGAGACTACAAATTATGGCCCAAAAGTGAGGGAGACCAGCTTTTGTGCAAGATTCAAAAGGGTCAATCACAAAAGGTGGTCGGCCTACCCATAATGGTGGTCTCCCAGATGAATACAACTCAGTGGTGATATGGGAGACCAGAAATTATGGCCCAAAAGTGAGGGCAGTTTCCTGACAAGAAAACTGGCTGGAGGAGAGAGAAAAGTGGTCTCCGAGGAGAAAGCTGGTTTCCAAGAAGAAAAGGTAGTCTCCCATCCTTGTACCACCAACCTAACAATGAAACTAGGGTCCACGCCAAAAATGAACCCTGACCGATGCAAAACGAGGGTTCGGGGGCCAAAATGCGCAGCCGGGGGCCCGAAAAACTGGCTGTTAAGTGTCGGAAGTGGCATGTGACCACGAAGATGGTCTCCCGGGCCACAATGTCCCTCTAAGGAGAGAAAACAAGGTGTGTGCCAAAAATCGGAGCAAACAGGGGTAGTTAAGCGGTCCCGAACCGAGGCACATGGTCGACGGCTCTAAAAAACCGAAAACTGGTTTCCAAGCTGGAAAAATGGCCTACGACCACGAAACGTAGCCTATGGCCACTGAGAGATGGTCTACGAGACCTCTACCTCCCTTCGAGAAGAAAAAACAGAGAAAACAGGACCTAGTTCGCAAATCGAGGCAAGGCACGAAAAGGTTCTGAAGCCTAGAGGCAAGGCTCTCAGCCGAGACTTTGCAACCTCAGAATGAGCACAATATGCAACATTATTGAGCGCTCAGTTGGTGACGTCTGAGCCTTAAGGTTGGTCAAAAATGGGGTGTCTACACAAGCATTCTATGCAATACAAATATATATATATATATATAAACTCTAGGATTTGGGGAAGAGAATGGCTAGAACACCCCATTCTGATTGAGCATCTGTCAATATGGCTTGGGCTTGGTCCAATTCAACTTTAGCTGTTTGAATTGATGCAGGACCATGTCTAATTTGGGAGAGCATCATCCTTGCTTCTTGATTAAGTTCGTCATGTTGCTGTTGTAGATGAGCCTTTCTTTGCCGGATAGAGGCAAGTTCTGCCATGAGTTTGGTTTCCTCAAGTTCAAGTGCTGAGTGTTGCTCAAGAATGGCTGTAGGGGTTTGGTGGCTGAGTTTGAGTGAAGTAGATATGGTGTGGGCTTGGTTTAGGAAATCTTTTTTGGTTTGAATATCTTTCGAGCAAGTCTAAACCATCTGTGAAAAGGTTGGCCATTCTCTGATGATCTTGGCCAATTGCTTTAGTTGAATGGGGTTGAAAGGATCAGGGGAGAGGTTTAGAACAGTAGAAAGACAGGCCAAGGTTTCATCAGGTTTGTGGATAATGATTTCTTCAACTGGGGTGTTAATGAGGTTAATGAAGGTGGTTAAGGTTTGTTGAGTTTTAGCATGAAAGAGATGTAGCCTTTGAGGCAATGAGGATATTTCGTCAGATGTTGTTCAAGAATAGAAAGTTCGGCCCAAATATCCTAAGATGGAATGATGGCCTATGAACATTAATAGTTTGGTGAGAATATATGCTGCAAGTAATAAAGAGTAAATAGGATGAGGTTAGAAATGCTAGTACCTGTCTTGATAAAGTGCGCGCAGACGGCTGGCCTTGTTCGGCTATGGTTGTGGCAGTAGGAGAAGTTGTTTCAGGTGCTGATGAAATGGCAGCATCAGCACGTTCAGGCTCTTTTTCTAGTTCTAGTGAGAGGGAAAAGTCATGAGGACCTTCAAGTTCTTTCTTAGACATTGGTCGTGGAAATGAGTCATGTATTATGTTCGTCCCTGTAAATTGGAGAAGAAGAGCAGTTACTTAAAGAGAAGTTTTTTTTTTTCCAAACGAGCAGTCACATTTGTATTTCTATTTACCTTGGTTGTTGTGAACTTCTAGTTGAGGGGATTTTGTATTGTCATCTATTGGAGAGGATTGGCTGTTGATTGAAATGTGAAAATCAATCCTCTCTGATTGTTTAATTGAAGTTTGGGAATTTGAGGAGTTGGATGCTGATGGTTTAGGGCTAAAGACAGAAGGGACAATAATAGGCTCAGTGCCCCATTGGGTAATCAACCTCCATCGAGACAGCCCCAACTGTGGCATCCCTGAGAGCAATAGGAGGAGGTTCTAGCTGTGAAGGATGTTCTGATGCAGATTGTGTAGATTGTTGTGGCGAAGACTGTAAAGGAGGTTGTAATAAAGTTTGTTGAGATGCTTGAGGTGGTGGTGGAGTTTCTTCTATAGTGGGTTCTCTGGGTACATTGGTGATGGGACTAGGAATTGGATGAATGTGTTGAGGAGAAGTGGAAGGATGTTGTGATGCAGATTGTGTAGATTGTTGTGGCGAAGATTGTGAAGGAGGTTGTAATGAAGTTTGTTCAGATGCTTGAGGTGGTGGTGGAGTTGGTTCTAGAGTGGGTTCTCTAGGTACATTGGTGATGGGACTGGGAATTGGATGAATGTGTTGAGGAGAAGTGGAAAGATTCTCATCATCAATAGCAGTAAGGAGCAATCTCCTTCTTTTTCTTTGCACAAAAGTAAGTGATCAGTCGGGCGTGAATGGAAATTGAGATGATGTAAATATGTAAAGTGAAGGCATACTTCCTAGAGCTGCCCTGGAGGATTTGATGTTGTTTGGCCAACCATTTGGCTGAGAGGGATATCCCAATCACTTAGGTTTGTACTTAGAGCAGGAGCAGTGGAAGGCTCTTCTCTCTTCTTCGTCGTGACCTCTATCTCAACAGGGTTATGGGTGGTAGGAGCAGTTACTGGCAGTGATCATGGATTTAGTGGCCACCCTCCAAGAGGAAACATTCGCGAATTAGGAGTCTATATCTGTCGAGGAAAGGCTAAAAGGACTTGGGCATAGGTGGCAACTTCAAGATATGCACTTCGACAGGTACAAGTAAAGGTTTTATGTGGTTTGAAGACATGGAAATGACCGTGCAGTCACAGAAATTGCACAAAAGCAGTTGTAGATTCGGCAGATCATGGGATCGTGGGAAATAAGAGCTATAAAGGGTAGAAGGTTTGCAGACAGAGAGCACATGAACAACAACACAACAACTTACTTTCTATATTGTAACTTCTAAGCAGTTTTTTCCCTTCTCATTTTTCAACCTCAAATCAGCAAAGGTTTATCTTCTATGATTTGTTACCATCACCTCATATCAGAAAGGTCATTCTACTAGTTTACTTTGTTACCAGCAGTTCATCGAAAGAAGACTTCATTCTTTTCAAGCATTCGAACCAATACCACAATTGCTTGATTTTCTTCTTTAATTTGTCAACTTTAAATTACTGCTTGGTTGCTGTAGATATAGGCCCACTTTAATTTCACTAACAATAAACCCATCACTTTCATAGTTAACATGAAATAATTTCACAACTCCTGTTCATAACTTGTAATTCATATAGCAATCGACATAGAGATAAAGTAAACGAGTTCGTTGGGTTACTCTCTCCAAGTAATACCCGAAATTAACTGCCACTTGGATTATATACAAAATGCATGTGTTGGGATGTAATTTTGCAAAATTACATGGAGAAAATTCGTATTTTACTCGAAATATAATAGTAATTTACCGAAACAAGTCCTAACAAATCAATACGAAGCCAAACACATTGTTAGCTGATAAACCACACCGCAAGAAACCATTCAGTTAGATCCAACCAAATATGGAACACAAACAAGCAACCCGCAATAGGAATCTTGGAATATAGGCATAAGCCAATTTCCAATCCAAAAAAATACACAGACAACCCATATATATCTCACCTTCAATTAGTTTTCAAAATGACAAGTCACTGCAAACATAAATGACAACATCACTCTAAACAATATGGGAAATCACTGTTTCTGGCCTTGTACATAAGTAACGTTTTGCCATTTCGTGGCATTGTATGTAACCAATTGTTTACATGTTACGTATAGCAATCTGTGCAAAATGAAAACTACATACATATCTACGCTGTTCTCCGCAATGATGTGTTTCCAATAGCTAGTACTGTCTACCTAATAAATTAAGGGAATAAGTAAATCATACAAATTATACAATTACCTGATTCACCTCATCAATTGTGGTCGAATTATTTTTGCACATTGCTACTTCGACACTATCGTATTGGCCCACAGGCTGTTTGGAATTAGAAGAAACATCGAAAATAGTCGTCGTTGCTTAATGTGCGGTGTAGTTGGATCCACCAACCCAAGTTTGCAGCAAATGGGCAATGACTCTGCATTGTACTCACGATCAGTGATGTGGGTTGTATCTGCATCTGAGTTACTACCCATTGTTTGGCTAAACCGAACCTTAAGACACGTTCGCTTTGTGTGCCCAATGCATTTGCAATTCCCACATTTTCTTGGTCTTTGACAGTTGGACGAGGGACGTCCCGGGTTTCCCTTTTGTCTTCACAAGATCAGGATCTTTTACTCCAAATTGTCGTGGGATTGAATGTTTCCCTTTGTCTCCATCCCCATTGTTCAGATTCCTCTCATATAACTCCTTCATCTGGCTCGTCATCGGAAGACATACATCTCGAGCCTCTTCGAAACCTTTCGTTGGCTGCGAAGCATAGAAACACATTTCATTGTAGGAAGAACTCAATATCCCATACCGGGCCGTCTGTGTTTTAGTGCTATCAATTGAGAGTTGAGGTCATTGCTGGCCATCCTTGCTTGCAGCCTTTGTCCATCTATGCAGCACACAAGTTGGGGGAATTTGCGTTAAATTTTCAGCTTTCATAACACATATCATGTAACAGCAAGGTAGCCCCAACGACTCAAACTTCATGCAAGAACATCTCATTGCAGCATCTACTGGATTGTGTGTTACTATCCATGATCTATCCTTCATCTTGTACTTATGAATATAGTAACTTTTCTGACCATCCGGCAAAGGGAACACGTCCTTAACATTCAACTCCCCCTTTTCTAAGATTTCATCACGGAACATTCTAAATATATTTCGGGTGAATAGCTCAGCTCCATGTCTTTCTATATCTCGCAATGGAGTAATCAATACCGGAAAAGTGTTATTTGTTTCAGCATCATCTCCAGCCTCGTTATACCTTATCCTTGCAAGAGCCCGATCATAGTGCCTAACAAATTCATATAGCTTCAATTTGTGTTGGAGAAAGGGATTGAAATATGCATTCATACTCTCCGAGCACTGAGTGCTCTTCATCCCAGCAAAAGAAATGTCCACGCATATATGCCTCAGCCCACTTATGACACTTCTCATATGTCTCCAACACCCAGCTATTGGTTTGAAGTCCAAATTTTTCGACCATTCTCGTCCAGCCTTCCTCAAACTTTGCCTCATCCATTTCCACGTCCATGCACTGCTTGAATACATGTGCAAAGCCACTTTTGTGAACATTTGAAACAGTATTTTTCCCAAGATGCCAATTACATAATTGATGTCTTGCATCTAAAAATACTCTTTTGATTGCCTCTCGCATCGCCTTATCCCCATCTGTCAGTACGGACACAGGTGCTTTGTTGCCCATCGCCTCCATAAATGTTTCCAAAACCCATGTGTATGTATCAATTATCTCATTAGCTAGCAAAACACATGCAAATATCGTGGTCCTAAAGTGGTTAGTCACACCAGCCAACATGCCAAAAGGTTTCTTGTACGCATTGGTTCTGTAAGTTGAGTCAAATATCAACACATCACTAAACTTTACGTAGTCAGCCCGCAATTTTGAATCTGCCCAGAACAGATTTTGTAACTTGTTATCCTTACACACATCATACTTGTAAAAAAAAAGGGGGTCAACATCAAGTTTTGCACATAGGTAAACCAACGCACCCTGCACATCACCATCCTCAACTTCTGCTCTACGTTCGGCTTGAATATGGTTGTGTAGATCCGTATGGATGAAATTGACATTCTCATAAGACCCAGATTGATTTACCATATAGTCCGTGATTTGGCTAGTCTTCACACCGACGTTGCGCATAGCCATTGCTTGAGCTTTGTCAGCGCTGTTTAAACTGCGATGTGACCTCAGATACATCACACAGTGTTGTTCCGCCAATTCATGGTTGTGGTCTGCGACGAAGTGAGTCACAACCTACTTTCCCCCTTCACCAGCATCTGCATCGTACCGTATGCGAAATTGGGCTTTGCAACCTACTCTTGTTAGTGCCTTGGGAGCTCTACTCTTCTCAGCAACACGGTCCAATTATTTTGGTAATCTCTGACCTTCCCTTGAACACAACCACAGCCTACTAACAACCTTTCCCTCTTTATTTGTGTGAAATCTGGATTTCCGTATACTAAATCCCTTGGCTTTAGCATATGCATTATAGAAAGCTTCTCCATCTTCGACCGAATCAAATTTATGTTCCAGAATAGCACATTCAACATCACCAACCATGTCATTGCGATGGGCATCGTCAACCATTTTTTGTTTCACATCGGCTCTGCCATCTTCAACGTTCATGTTGGTTGCTTCTTTATTGCTCAGACCAGCTTCACAACCATGATAAGATTCCGCCTGACTTTCATTGATCAAACGAATGTTATCTGCTTCATTTGGAATGTCATAATCATCACCTTCCCTTTTAACTTTCGTTGCGGCCACACTGTACATAACATTAATACAAACAATTACTTGGTGGCCGAAAAATGTTAACACAAACACAAACATGACATTTTCACACGGTTAAATTGTTTGTGCAAACACAAACACTCGCTTGAGAAAGAGAAACGTTAGTTGCCAATGGAGGGGTTTCCATTTGAGCGAAGCGTAGAGCGGTTGAAGTTAGAATGGGGGTTTAGTTGAGGGAAAATAGCTAAACTAAAGAGGCCAGAGAGAGAGAGAGACAGAGAGAGGGAAACAGCTCCATACCTCATGTCTAGTTGAAGAGAACGCCTTCACTTCAGCAATGAAACTAGCACAGCCTTGTAGTTCCTTTGCTGTTAGAAATCGCCCGTTATACTGTTCCCTACAGAGCTTTGTCAATGGAACCCAGCAGAGGCTTCTCGCTGTTAATGGAAATCAAGGGTTACACTGACTCAACCTTACACAGAGAGGATAACAAAGAGAGATAGAGACAAAATAGAGAGAGTGAGTGGGATGCAATCATGCAAATACAAGCATTAACCGGTTGCCCCTGTTTCAACTTTTTCACGATTAAACAATTCAATGGTCTTGATCAATTATTGCAATCTAACGGCTAAAAATTGGGTTGCATATGGTGTGCAACCTTAAGGGGGTTGCACACTTAAACAGCGCCCAAGTAAAAAATATTAAGAAAATAATATTTATTACTTAAAAAAAAAAAACCAGCCATTACATAGCAAATTAGCATTCATGATATGTAGTAAGCATAAAATTAGCAAATTAGCAAAACAGACCATCCATTACATAGAAGTACTATAGTGGGTAGATATAAGGGAATGGAAAGGCTGATGGTGACAAGCAATTTTTTGGTCAATTCAAATTTCAATCATTTGCTAAATAATTAGTTACTACTGAAAGACCTTGGTATTAGTAAGTGTGTAAAAACTTTATTGAACTTTTACCAAACTATTTGGCAAGCATGACTGATACTTTAGCGGTGTTTGAGAACTTGATTTTTGTGTTTTTTTATTTTATTTTTCACTACAAGACAAATGTTTTACAAAATCAAAAAAAAAAGTAAATTCAAACAAAATATCACATCAAACTCCATAATCATTTCACTTTTTCTCTGACAAACATTACATCCAACCACAAAAAAATCCAACTATCTTCCCAAACACAAAAAAAAAAATTTCTCTAATAATATCCTATAACTAAAAAAACCTGCAAAAAAAACTCACTTCCTAAATACCCACTTCATATATAGGTTAGTTCAGTTTGAAGAACCAACTAAATACTATAGACTCTAGTAGCAGTAGTAGGGGAGATGAAGCAAACCAATAAAGCGGAGGGAAAGGCAAGCAACAAGGGCATTTTGAAAGTAGATAACTATTGGAATATTTTATCTAAAATTCAGCAGCTAATCAATTTGAAAATAGGACTCATCCTACAACCTCCTTCCACCCTTTTTGAGTTTTAAATCCTAAACCCATTGGCCTTCCACAAACAAAACCATTTTTTATTTTTATTTTTTTGGTAAAAGTTTCATTAGGCATCAATACTCAAATTGGAAACACTACTTTTCCTCATAGATAAGTTAGACCATGTTCAAATCTCACACATAATGTACTGTGGGTTCAATTCATGCAGAATGTAGATAACATAACAGAATTGGATTTTTTTCACTTAAGTGAGTCACAAAATTCAAACGTTAGCTAATTATTACAGACATAAGAAAATAATTAAAGGCATTGTTCCAAATTTTAATCATTCTTCATCATGAGAGGATACACACACGGTATATTTACTGGGAACCAAAAAAAAGCATACCAAAAGGATTCCCAAGTTATGTGCTGGATAAGCTTGCTGCTCACTGAGACTCTGCATAACCAAATTTATCACAAGGGAAGCAACATCAAGAAAACAAAACAAAAAATTAATCAGAATACAACTTTTATGAAAATAGTTACTATTAAGCATAAAAAACATACTTCAATACAAGTATCCTTCAATCAAAAAAGAAATATCTATGTATATAAATGGAATGCTTCTAAACCATTCAATTACAATAAAAACTTAATCCGCCTATTGCAGCAAGTATTTGTTTCCTCGAACACTCTAAGCTATAAACCGGAGATAAAGCTTACCTTTGAAGCAGCGAACCAATGGTGGCAAATAATAGACGTCCTAGAGCCTTCATTGACCAATCTACAAGTAATTTTAGCTATGCATGATTCATTTTTGGGAATTTCATTTTGTGTTTTCATATCATGAGTTATACAATTGCTTTCATTCTATAGCTCAGAGAAGACTTAAAGAAATGGGTGCATGTTGAAAACCTTATAGAACATAGTGTGAGAACCGTTAATGATGCTCTCAAGCTTCTATTATAGGTGTGACTCAATAGTGAAATTTTGTGTTCTATTATTACATGTTAGAGTATAAATTTTACTTGGACTTAGTGATAGCAGTCGGTCTCATAGTGTATAACATGCACGATTGAAAGACACTAAGAGAAAGATTCCATGACCCACCTTAGGTTTGGAAGGTTAAATTTAGTAGATCTAGTTGGTTCAGAAAGGTTAGTATTGATTTTGTAATCTGGTTATGTCAGTTCATTGTGCTTTTTATTTTTATTTCTTTATGGATTTGGTTTGTATGCTGAACTCATGTTGTTGATTTAAGGGCATATTACACTAATAGTCACTGCACTTTCTCTCTTGTGTCACTTTGGTCCCCGTAGTTTTAATTTACTTGATTTTGACCCTCAAATTTTGATTTTGTATCATTTTAGTCCATTGTTAACACCAGTTAAAATTGTTGACGGAAAACAAACATGTGAGACCCACATGCCATACTCTTAGGGGTAAAATAGTAACTTCACCAATACTATTTATTTTTTCCCCTCCAAATCAGTGAGTTAACTCACAGAGTTCACTCATTATAATTTTTCCCTAAAATCTCATTTTTCTAAAGAGAGAACTGGCAGGACGAAGATGAGAGAAACAAAATGGAATAGAAAGAGGGGAATGTGGTGGCTTATTGATGTTGAGATGACAAAATAGTGTGGTTGAGAAGATTGAGAGGTCATGGTTGGAGGTCTAAGGCAAGGGTGTCACGGCTGGAGAATGGTAAAAGAAGCATTAAGGGAAAGGAAGAAGAAGGGGAGAGAGTCATTGCTGAACAAGAACGACGAAGATTCTGACAAAGAATGAGGGGATCACGGTTGAAAGAGAGCAAAGGAGGGGCTGATATATGAGGGTTGCGAAAGGGGCTGACTAAGCCCAAAACGATTGCAGCTGAGCAAGGTGAGGAAAGGGTTGACATATGGAAGTCATAGAGGAGCTAACGAATGGAGGTCAAGGTTGGGAGATGCCGATCTTCTCGTAGATCACGACGATCTATTCAACAGATTGCAAAGAATCTTCGTTGCCAATATTCTTCTTCTCTTATTTTCTCTCTTCTCTTTGGTTAATTCTTTTATCTGATTTGCATGGTTTGTTGTTTGATTTGATTGAATTACTATTTGATTTGGAAGAATTGGTGGTCTGCCACTTTGTTATTGTTATTGTTATCATCTCTCTCTGCTATTCTTTTTAACTCTCACTTTGTTGTTTGGTGATGGTGGGATGATAAGGGTAGATGAAGGAGGTTGGATGGAGGTGATGGATATGGCGGGTATGTGCAAAAGAATAGGTGGTGAGTTTGGTACTCTGGGTGACAGATGATACTGGGTTTGATATAGTGGAGGTGGATGGTGTTGATATTGGGATTGGCTATGGATGATTTTGGTAGTGGAGGAAGGCAACAGTGGTAGGTGATTGTGTTATAGAGAGTCCAAGAGGAAGAAAATGGTGAAACAAGGAAAGGGTAGTGAAATGTCTATATTGCCCTTGAAAAAGGGTCATGTGCGTCTCATGTGTTTGTTTTCCGTTAACAATTTTAACCGGTGTTAATAATTGGACTAAAATGATACAAAATCAAAAATTGAAGATCAAAATCAAGAAAATTAAAACTATAAGGACCAAAATGACACAAGAGGTAAAGTGCATGGAATGTTAGTGTAATTTGTCCTTAATTTAATTAGGCAGAAAAGCTTTGGTGAAGAAGGAGACCGTTTAAAAGAAGTGGCGAATGTAAACAAATCTTTGTCGACTGTTAGGTAATTAGATCATAAACTATTTTTCAGTTACGTTGCACTGAGCAAATTGCTAGTAATTTTAGCTGGTTACTTTTCATAATTATGCATTTTTTTATATGCTATTATGGGCCTGATGGATGTCATGTCTTCTTGAGTTATGTCACTATATTCTAAAGGAATTACTCAACTCCACTCAACAAGTCTTAATCCAACTTACTTGTCGTAGCTACACAAGGACTATATTCTAAAGGACTATCATTCTTAATTATTTTTAGTTGATGAAACGTGTTATACTTGACTATGTCTTCCAAAACATTGAGAGAGAAGTTGAGAATTCTACATAAAGAATTAGAAGTGGAGTAAATATCATTTCCCCTCCCCCCCGGAAAAAAAATATCATTCGTTTTTCACGCGCACCCCAATACTTCTATTTATTTCAATTTAATACTTGAACTTTCCATAAATTGGTCAATTAGACTCTTACCGTCACCTTCCGTCCATAATTGGATAGAATGCGATGAGCAGTCCCCCTGAACTATCTTTCGGAGGGAATATAAGTGGGTTTCTTGCCATATGCAACCTCTCGATTCTACTATATAATAGAGGCAAGCTCCCAACCAGAAAAAAATAGAGCATGTGTTTGGTGGTGAGAGAGAATGAGGAATAGAGGGTCAAGAAATCTGGGAAGATCAAGCTCAACTGAAGGAAGATGGAGTGCAAGTGGCATGAAAGACTTGAGATGCATTTGCTGTGGAAAACGAAAGGTAATACAAACATCATGGATTGATGCAAATCTTGCTAGGAGGTTCCTCAGCTGTCCCATGAATGGTTGTAATCAGTTCACCTAAGTAGACCCACCTATGTGCTCACGGGCAGTGCAAATCATCCCCGAGCTATTGAAGAAGGTCAATAAGCTAGAAGAAAGATTGCAGACAAGGAATAGAAGAGAGAGAAAGCTATGGATATGCTTGGCTACCTCATGGTGCATCATCTTATCAATGTGGTTTGTAATGTAGTGTAAGAAAGAATAGAGGGGACTATTATGAATGAATAAATGTAATGGGGGGAAATATTATGAATGATATGTAATGGGGGAAATACTATGAATGAAATGTAATGAAAAAAGTATTTTGAATGAAAATTTCAGATTTTGTGTTAAGGTTTTACTCTTAAAAAAAAAAAAATAGAGCATCACAACCTTTGTTTGTCCCTTAAAAAACAATTTTGTTCATCCTTACAAAAACAGGGCATTATCATTTAATTAAAAAAAGAAAAGAAAAGAAAAAAAGAGTGGCATTGTGCGTTACTTTAACTATTTGTCATCCATCCATCCAAATAACTAATTGGTGGCCTCTTTGAATGGCCCCTTGGCACCCAATGAATAAAATACCTATCACTAGCATCCATCCATCCATCAAATGGAAACCGATGAATAAAAAACCTATCACTGGCATCTATCCATCAAATGGCATTCATTCAACGAATAAAAAACCTATCAGTGGCATTCATTCAAAACACACAATGGGAATCTATACATGTAATGGCAACCAAAACCAACACAATCTACATTCATAGAAATGAGGAGTACCATCCATTAAAATAGAGCATCATGCACAAAAGCAATAGTCATAAATTTCTCATTTAAGTTATCAAAACACACAATTGTTTGTGACAATCAAAATACTACCTTTACATAGTTAACAAGCTCAGGGCAACCATTCCAAACAAAAAATCATTACATGTTGAAAAAGCCCCAATGAGAAAGTCATGTAAATGCTTCCTTCTTCTATCCAAAAAAAATTCAAGTGGATGCTCCAGATGGTCCCTCTTTCTGTCCAGTGGATGCTGATTTAATGCCACTAGCATGTACACTAGCTTGCCTCTCCACATCATTTGACCCTTCTTTGGTGTGCTAGTTGAACTTATTGGAAATGGAGTTGATTGACTTCCTTGTACCACTCTGTAACGCCCCGAAATTTATTCAACATAAACCAACCAGGTTAACTAACATTCAGTAAGTCATGATAATAATCCTTTCCTCTTTACATGATTAATACACAAGCTTATACAGAAGTTTCACATGCAAGTTATACATTCATTGGTAAGAAAACACATGAATCTATAGCATGTGAAGCATATAGTTCTCAAAACAAATAAATGCCCTTATGGGCTACAACTTCCAAGGCTTAAGCCCGGCTACACAAAAGTGGCCTCTCGGACCCATACAAAAATAGCCCTTGGCTAGCAATTAAATCTCAACAAAATAGAGCTATGTACTCTTCACAATTATCCACGCCCTCAATTTGGCGGGATCACTACGTCTTTACCTGCACCAAAGTCCCATAGGGATAAGCATAAAGTCCAGTAGAGAATTCTCACAAAGTATATACAGTTATGCAAACTCTCAATAAAAATGTCAATGCCAATGCCATGCCATGCTCTTTTATTTTTTATTTTTTTATTTCTTGCTCTTCTTAAAGATTTCCATTTTTCAATAAAAGCTTACAATCTCAGCATATTTCAAAACTTCCAATTTTAATCAATAGGGGCAGTAAATACGACTCAGGTAACCCCTAGGTTGGTGTCTGCAAGTAGGCTCAACAAGCACTACCAATACCGCACTTTACCAGTTGCTAATAGGAAGGGAGGTGCTACCTCATCTGTGCGTGTTTTCGGTCTTTCACCCCAGACACTCAGGCCAACTTATCAATTCATCTACACCTCTTAACCAGACTTACCAAACGTATTTACCGCATACATTTATGTTGTTCTTATTACAATAGCCTTTTCTTTCATGAAGTAAACATCTTAAATCAAAATTTACAATGCATAATAATAATTTGAAAAAGTATGCAATGCAATGACTTCCCATACTTCATAGCACTTCTCCCTTTTCAAATAACTCTTCAACAATGTCAACATTCACATTTCTCATTCCCTCTCTTAAATGTTCGTTCACAAGATAATCATATGTCATCAACACATGGCTACAATTTTTCATTTCACAAGTCTTAACAATCTAGTCTCTTCAAGACTACACATAGTGTTTTTCAAACATTAATCTCCAATGTTAAAATCCACAAAAATCCATAGTGCACAATAATTGTCATCTCACAACCATATATCATCATTTATTTATCAATAGTTTTTAAAACAATTCCTCCATGTCAATAAGATTGCCATTATGCAAACCACATTATGGAATCTATACTCATTCATCTTTTTATCAAAAGAAAAGAAAGAATTCCATGGACATTTCCATATTTTTCCAAAAATCTCCAATTTCTAGGGTTTTTCATCAAAACCAAGAATTTTCTCATTTCCTTAGTGAAACCCTAACAAAACCATTTTTCTTAAGTTTAACAGAAGGAAACCCTCTAAAATTTGTGAAAGGATTAAGATACAAACCCATTTTACAATTCTCGACACTTTGAATCACAATGTTGAGATCAACATAAAAACTAGAAGAAAACTCTTAAATCATCATCAAAAATAGCAAAACTTGTATATATGACTCAAGAAAACCCTACCTCAAAGTTCTTGATAAAGAAAGAGGATGAAACCCTAACTTTGATGGAAGACTCTTCAATCTCTTCCACACCAAGAGGAGCCCTAGCTTGATCTTCGAGATTAGAGGAAGATGATGATCCTAGGCTCAAGAAATCGCAAAGAAATCAAGGATTTGGAGTGCTAGGTGAGGGTTTCTAGATAGAAGGAAGAGCAAAATGGTGTTTAGAGTGAGAGAGGAAAGCCCCAAAATGAGATACAACTCAGCCAAAAGAGCAAAAAAAAATAAAGATTCGAACTCAAGCCCGTCTCGTACCTACGGCTGCCCTTTTCCCACACGTGCGACATTGATCTCCGCACGTGCGGCTGCCCCCGTACTACCCCTCCGCACCTGCAATTTAAGTAGTGTGCTTAGCCATACAACCCCTGAATTCTGCACGTGCGACCCTTGGTTTCCAACGCAAATTTTTTTTTTTGTTCAACCCTTAGGCACTTCGGACTCAGCCGTGCACCCTTCGGAACAAGTGAAGTCCAACACCGACGAAAACAAGAACGAGGGCTTTGATTGGAAATAACTTCCAAACGTTTCAAACCCAATGAGAGCAAAAAGAGAACGGAGTGAAGAAGGAGGAAAAAGAAACAAAACTAGGACCCGGTCGTCACACACTCTCCTTTTAACCTGCAATAAGATTGAATTGTCTACAATTAAACACAATCAAATATAGGATAGTTAAGTTACTATGTAAAATTAAAAAAAAAAGGGAAGAACACTGACAGCCAGTTTCTTCTGTCTCATGTGTCTCTTGACCTCAGGTGCTTCTGCACTTAATTGGCTCTGAGGTTGGCTAGGTTCAATTTGGCTCTCCTGAGGTTAGCTTTCTTGCATGTAGCAGAATCTGCCCTTGACCTTACAACTTCTCCTGTTGTGTCCCACATTTCCACAATTATTACAAGTTATTTTAGTGCCCTGCGTTCCTAGCTTTCTGCCTTGAATTGGTGCCTCAGTCTCCTTTCTTTTATTTTGTTTAGGCCTCCCAGCTCTCTTTTTCACATCAGGTGGCAGCACCTTTGCATACTCAGTTTTTGGCCACGTTTCTTTAACATTAATAGGAGTCAACATATTGTCATACATCTTCAGATAACTCTCCACCTTATAGTACTGATGAACATATTTTTCTGGTTCTTGACCTAAGAAATTTGTAGCAGCCACAACATGGGCACATGGAATGCCTGACAGATCCCACTTCCTGCAACCACAAGTCCAAGCTTGCAAGTCCAGCTTGTATTGCTCACCATATGGCCCTACAACCTCAAATTTCTCGTTGCCATTCTCTCTAGGAATCGATCCACCTGCATCCGCTTTCATTTTCTCCAAATGAATTTGAATGTTAGGACATATAGTACCATTGTGTCTTTGCATTGCATCTCTTCTTTTTTGAACAGTTTCCATCAATAACAACTATTCTCTAACATTGTAACCACAGGTTTATTCCTAGCTTCCAAGATGCTTGCATTGATGCGCTCACATAGATTGTTTAGCAAAAGGTCACACTTTGGAAAAGTGTTGAAGTGGCTCCTACTCCAATGAATTGGTGGTCTGCCAACTAACCAATCATATGCCTTACAATAAACTTCTCTAATCTCTGCCATCACTCTGGTAAATGCAGGAACAATTGTTGCCCTTGCAGCCTTCCACAACAGATCTTTTAGAACCAATCACTTGTGTTCACCCTTAAAATTGTTGTACAAATGCCTCACACAAAACCTGTGTGAAGCATTTGGGAATAACTCAGCCACTACATCAATCAAACCCTTTTGTTTATCACTCGTGAAGGTATAACAATGAGAGTTTACAATATTCAGATCATGTCCTAGCAGCTCTAGAAACCATAACCATGTTTTTTTATTCTCTTTCTCAACAATTGCGTAGGCAAATAGAAATATGCAATTGTTTACATCTATCCCAACAACAATCAAGAGAATACCACCATGTGATCCCTTCAAATGGCATCCATCAACTCCTATGACTGGCCTGCAAGCATTCATAAAAGATTTCTTCAATGGACCCCAACACAAGTACAACCTTTTGAACTTTGACTTTGTATTGCTCCCATCAATAACCCTTGGATTACTCCCTTCATTAACCTTTGGAATCTGTTTCACCTTCATGCAAACTGTTGTTTCAGGATTGGCATTCCTAGTCTGCTCAATGTAACTTCATAACAATGCAAACTACTCAGTTGTAGTACCCTCTACTTGTGTCAACACCTTGTTTCTTGCCCTTCTCACTTTTTGTAAGTCAACCTTCACATTGTGCTCACTTGAAATAGTGTCATATGCCTTACAATAAACTTCTCTAATCTCTGCCATCACTCTGGTAAATGCAGGAACAATTGTTGCCCTTGCAGCCTTCCACAACAGATCTTTTAGAACCAATCACTTGTGTTCACCCTTAAAATTGTTGTACAAATGCCTCACACAAAACCTGTGTGAAGCATTTGGGAATAACTCAGCCACTACATCAATCAAACCCTTTTGTTTATCACTCGTGAAGGTATAACAATGAGAGTTTACAATATTCAGATCATGTCCTAGCAGCTCTAGAAACCATAACCATGTTTTTTTATTCTCTTTCTCAACAATTGCGTAGGCAAATAGAAATATGCAATTGTTTACATCTATCCCAACAACAATCAAGAGAATACCACCATGCGATCCCTTCAAATGGCATCCATCAACTCCTATGACTGGCCTGCAAGCATTCATAAAAGATTTCTTCAATGGACCCTAACACAAGTACAACCTTTTGAACTTTGACTTTGTATTGCTCCCATCAATAACCCTTGGATTACTCCCTTCATTAACCTTTGGAATCTGTTTCACCTTCATGCAAACTGTTATTTCAGTATTGGTATTCCTAGTCTCCTCAATGTAACTTCATGACAATGCAAACTACTCAGTTGTAGTACCCTCTACTTGTGTCAACACCTTGTTTCTTGCCCTTATCACTTTTTGTAAGTCAACCTTCACATTGTGCTCACTTCAAATAGTGTCTGTCAATGACTGAATTGGCCATGTAAGATTTAACCTAATTCTTTCAAAGTACCTATTGACAATCCATTTGGAACTCACATGTACCACATTAAAAGACCTATTACAAGTGTGCTCATCAACAAGTGTTTTGATCCTATACAACCAATCATGTTTTATATATGAAGCATAACAAATCCAAGGACAACCAACTTTGCACTCTGCCCTCACCTTTTGTTTGTCATTCTTAGTAAATGTTATATGTTTGCCCCACTTAATTGCATACTCCTTCATAGCATCCCTAAACATATCATGACTCTTGAACTCTATACCAAGTTTGAATTGAGGATTGTGCATATCAAAGTGAACATTAAAAACAGGGTATTGCCTCATATGAGAAGTACCTCCTTCATCAAATGAGCTGTCAATACTTCTTAACTCATTAGAGGAGCTTCCAAGTCTTTGTAGGTCATCAATTGCCTCAGCCATTGCATTCTTACTACTTCCTACACCATCAAACTCTAGCTCTTTGTCAACATTAGCCTCATACAATGCATCATCATTAGAAAATCCATAGTCACTATCCTCATATTTCTCAAACTCATCAGATGATGAAGAATCTGAGAGATAAGGATCATAATCATCACTATCTTCATCTTCTGCTACCTGTATATCTACAAGTTCTCCCTTTCTCTGACTTCTTTTTGCACTTGACCCTATAACACCATCCATTCCTAAACAACCTACATAAACCTCTACTACTCTATTTCTTCCACAAATGTCTCTAACCTCATTACATCTTCGTCAGTGTTAATCAACTCTAACCCATCACAATAATTAAGCTTATAGTAATAGATGTTACATCCAGTGCAACCTGCTTCCTTGGCCATATTATCCAACTCCACAAGTGATATTTCAATCCACCACTATAAACCCTCTGAGGATTATAACTAACCAAACCCCCATGATACATTTTGATTGTGAAATAACAAGATCCTTTCTCTGCATTTTTAAATGAAAAAAATAAGCTATTATGGACTAATTATACTAATAAATAAATAAAAATAATATTAAACTACTATTACCATAAGACAATTCCAATTGAAGAGATCCATGTATGAATACATTAAAAAAAAATTGTATTCTAAAAAATGATTAAACTAAATTGATTTTTAATAAACATTACATAAAAAATGAGTTTCTTTTAAGGACTGATTAAACTAAAACTAATCAAGTATTACACTATGCAAGTAAAACAATTACGAATAAACAAATCCTTTTCAAAGACAAACAGACAAAGATGTATTCTAAAAAATGCCAAATCAAAATAGTATTATATCAGAAATTGATTTTTCACAATCATTAGCTTCAAAATTAAACAAATATTAAAAGTAAATACCATAAACAATTGGTCGCTTCCTTCGCTTGCCATCCTTCTCTCTTTGAACCCAACCCATGATTCAATGTTAGTTCGTGCCCTTCGTTTACTGATGAACTTTGATTTCGATTTCAAATAAGGAATTTGAAAACCCTAAAACCGATTTTGATCCCAACGAAGCCCTAATTGAACTATCTATTAAAACAAATTATTTTGTAAGGAAACCCTATTATATTCCTTCCAAAAGATAGTTCAGGGGGATAGCTCATCACATTTTGTCCAATTGTGGATGAAAGGTGACAGTAGGGGTCTAATTGATCAATTTGTGAAAAGTTCAGGTACTAAATTGAAATAAATAGAAGTATGGGGAGCGCGTGAAAAATGAGTGATAGTTTGGGGGGGGTGTAGACTTGACTTTCTTCACGTGCCCCCATTTCGAACAGGCGCGAATTGGTCTTACTACAGTTCGGACTCATGTCACGGTTCTGAATCTATCCTGACAAAGTGCAATGTGAGACTAATAAACACCAAAGAGTCCAAATCCGACAAATCGTTTTGGAAAATCGATTTTGAATAAAAAACGCCAAGCATGGACTGTTTTGCCAGATTATAGAGTCGCCACCTAAATATTTTATTTTTGGGAAATTTAGGAAACCCTGACTCATGCCAAAGGCCACGTGTCCGTCATCACCAAAGTTGCCTCGGCTCAGGAACATGGGTCTGGGAGGGGAAGGTCTTGAAATGAGCACCCCCGCTTGCCCGATCAAAGATCGGCCTCTACTACCATGATATGTTGTTTTATAAACCTCATGTGTTCTTATCCAGATCATTAACTAACTTACTATGTGATGCGCACAACATACAAATATAGACTCTATCACGAGAATTGGAACAAAACAAGTCATGTTTGTTTTCGAAAATGATTTGAAAGTGCTACTCGCAAGTAGGTTAAAGCACAGATTTGCCACCCTCAAGTGGGCTTGAAAACATGATTTTGCCACTTCGCAAAGTGGGCTTAAAACTCACAATCATCGAGTTGTTCCAATTCAAGCAATCAAGCCGTCACCCACAGACACTCATGCAATTAAGCACTTAAGCAAATAGCCTCATGGCAAGCATGCTATCATGGCAACACTCACACTCATGCAAGTATGCTAAAGCGTAAACACTTACAGTGTACTCCGAGCCAAAATAGAAAACCAGTTAGAAACAATGCATGATCCTAACTATGTTAAGATGCCTAATGCAACGAATGCAAAAATGCAATTAAATAGGCTCGGCTATCTAAGATGGCATATGATTCGTTTTGAACAACATGTGATAAACACGTATTCAAAGAAGTGTATTGAAATACAATGCAGTTTGTATGTTGCGCCGAGCCCGGTGCATGCAATATGAATAAATGATGCAAACATGCAAAGCATAAGGTATGCTAATTGAAATATGCCCTAAAACTAACCATTGAAAGCGGTTAAGTAAAAGGGAGAAAGAAGTGGGGTTGGAAGACATGCACGCACACACGCATCCTTATTACAATAGTGCGCCCTCTCGAAGGAGGGTCCGAATAAGAAAGCTAAGCTAATCTAAGCTAAGCTAACTGACTAATCTAATTAAACTAATTAGACTAATTATTACACAACCAAATTGAATCACTAGTAAACTACTTACTAATTATTACAACACTTTAACTAATTAACAAATTAATTAAATTAAATTACAAAACCAACTAAACATGTAAAACATGTAAGCTAGGCTGCCTCAGCTCTGCCTTGAGTAATGAAGAATGCATGCTCTCGGTTGCCGCCTCGAAACACCTTTCGATTTGCTCTTGAAAGGCTCTGTTTGCAGGGTGTCTCCAAGAACTTCCTGCTCTGCCTTACCAAATCACTGCTGGGGAGTGCACCAGTGGCCTGCCGGCCATGAGGAGCCACTGCCGACCATGTGCCGGCCAAGGATGTGCACTGCCGGCCAAAGATAAAGCAGTGCTGGCCATCAGTGAGGCACTGCCGGCCACTGGTGTGCTGCACCACCATTCTGCAACA